GATAGGGTCTCTTGAACTATTTGCCCGGGCTGGTCTCAAACCTTGATCCTCCTGGTCTCTGCCTTCTGAGTAGCTAGGACTACAGGCATGGGTCACCAGTGCCCAGTCAGATGGATGATCTTTTGACAAACTTGGACTCTGTTCTCTGGATTCTTCCAGAGTGAAGGCGGATGTTAGGAAAGGTCTTGACTCCTGTCCCATCCAAGTCAGGGTGACTTTGAGCCTCAGTTTCCCCATGTGTCAAATGGGGCAGTTGATTGGCCAAAGTGGATACATCAACTGATGAGAGGATAAGAAGGTGTGCTGTAGCCATACAAAGGGATGTTATTGGGTCATAAAAAGGAATGAACGTGTAACGCGACTCAGATAAAACTGGAAAACATGGTGCTATGTGAAACAAGCCAGATACGCAAGGCCACCCTTGCATGATTTCATTTACAGGACGTGTTCAGAACAGGCAAGTCCACAGACAGAAAGTACAGCAGTGGCTGCCAGGGGCTGGAGGAAGGGTGTGGGGTTTCTCTTTTTGGAGTGATGAGAAAGTTCTAGAATTAGTGGTGATTGATGTACTACTTTGTGACTACACTAAAAACCATTGAAGTGCACACAGACAAAATGTGAACTTTATGCTTTGTGAAGGTTTATGGAAGGTTTTTGTTTGTTTTTGGTGGGACTGAGGTTTGAACTCTGGGCTTTGAGCTTGCAAAACAGGGGCTTCACAGCTTAAACCACACCTCCAGTTCATTTTGCTTTGGTTAGGTTTTGGAGTTAAGGTCTGGCAAACTGTTTGCCTGAGCTGGCCTCAAACCCTGATTCTCCCATTCTCAGCCTCCCAAGTAGTGAGGATTATAGATGTCTGAAGAAGGTGTACTTTTATTTTATTGGCAATACTGGGGTTTGAACTTAGGGCCTCAAGCTTGCTAGGCAGGCGCTCTACCACTTGAGCCACTCTGCCAGCCCTTTTTGTGTTGGGTATTTTTGAGGTAGGGTGTCAAGATCTATTTGCCCAGGCTGGCTTTGAGTTACAATCCTCCTGATCTGCCTCCCAAGTAGCTAGGTTTACAGGGGTGAGCTAGAAGGTATGATTTAAAAAGTGGCAGTTGAGCTGAGTCAGAGGTCCTTGTGATCTAGGATGACTTCAGAGGGTCTGGAAACTCCAGAAATTGTGTAAGACATTCATTGTCCCTGCATTTCTTAGAGTAGAGGTCCAAGTTGATGTATAAGGCCCCAGACCAATGTGGGGTCAGCAACCCTGGGAAGCCAGCAGAACCCCATGGAGGGAATGGCAAACACTGGCTTTGCTCTGACTGAAGGGTTGGAAGCTCCTGGATGCTACTGGCCTAAGGCCCAGCTCTGGCTGGAGTGTGAGGTCAGCGGACCTCAGGGTCTCCCTGGGCACTCATGCAGGCCAGGCCACATACCAGGTTCTCTTGCTGCTGCCCTTAATCTTTAGGTATTTCCTTCTATCAGGATGGGTGTCCCCTTCCTCCCTAGGGCCCTTTGGGGGACTGTTCGCTGCCTTGGGAAATGGAAATGGGGAGAGGGCAGCTAAGGGTGGTCTGGATGGGATTTTGAAAAGCAAGATGGCTTATCCAGAGAGTGGTTGCTCTGGGGACTTAAATAGTCTGTGTAGATCCTAGTATCACTGTCTTATGGCCATTAATCGAACACTTTATGTACCAGGCATTATGTACTTTATATTTTTATAAAGATTATCTTTTTTCTTTTCTTTTTTTTTTGGGAGTACTGAGGTTTGAACTCAAGGCTTCACACTTGCTAGGCAGGTACTCTATCACTTGAGCACTCCACCAGCCATTTTTTGTGTTGGGTGTTTTCGAGATAGGATCTTGCAAACTGTTTGCTGGTGGCTTGCTCCAACTACAATCCTGTGATCTCTGCCTCCCAATTAGCTAGGATTACTGGTGTGAGCCACCGGGTGCCTAGGTACAAAGATGATTTTATTTATTTAACCTTATGGCATTGGCTCTGCCATTTTCCCATTTTATACATGAACAAACTGAGGTTCAGAGAGTGAAGGGCCTTACAGTTGGGTTAGGAGCAGTGCTGGGTGGACAACAGAGTAGGCCTGGAGGATGCAGTGGGTTCTCCAAGGAACATCCTCAGCCCTTGCTTTGTTTTTGAAAACAGCTCTTCTCTGAGCATCACCTACAGCCCAAGCGCTGAAATCAGAGGTCTCTGCTTCTTATCCAGACCATGCTGGATTCATTTCTTCCCTCTGTCATTCTTTCATTCACTCCTAACACACACTGATTGAGAACCTGAGAGTGGCCAGCACTGAGATGCTAAACTGAACCAATGAATGAGTCTTTTGCCCTGCCCCCATGTGTTTGGCTTCTTGGGAGCCTTGGGGAGGATGGGATAGATGAGACTTCCTGTGATCAGCCTGGGGGGTACTGGAGGGGACCTTAGAAGCATCTTGGGAGGCTGGTACCTCAATGGCTTGTGGTTTTACCTGGGTATTTCTTCAACTGACCCCAGAAACCCTCTGCTGCCTTCTGCTGGGCTGGCACCCACATTTTCTTGCAAGGCACCTTCCCTGTTTGCATTTAAATGTCTCAGGAGTGAGTTTTCCTCTTCCCTATGGCAGGCCCTTGGGGACCTGCTCCAGTTGGCAAATAAGCACTCTCTCCTCCCTAACATCCATTGTCCCCTCCCTCCGCCCTCCTACATGGCCATTATGGTGAAAAACATGCAAATAACTTTGAAAAACAGCCTCCCAGCAAATGGGCATTTAAAAAAATGTAATAAATTAACCCCACAATGTAATCTGGGTCCCATGACCATCCATCATGCTCATTCGATTAAGATACAACAAAACAGATGTTGCAGAGCCCCAATTGTCCCTTGCTGACGTGGCCCCCTGCTCCTGCCCCTGCTCCATTCCCAAGGAACTGCCTTCCTGAGACTGCCACTGCCTGTCACTAATGAAAAAGCTGCTTGATAGCCTCCAGAGGTGGGCAAAGAAGGAGCCTCCCTTCCCCCAAGTCACCAAACATCCGCCATGATGAAATCTCCCAGGTCTATTTCCTGCTCTGCTGGTTCAGTGTGCAAAGGGTCTTCTACATGGCATGATACGGGCAGGATCCCCAAGTCTTGAGCAGGATTCTTGTGCCCAAAATGTGCTCACAGGGGCTTCACTTCCCAAGAGTACCTCCATTCCTTTGGGTTAAGCATTGAAGTTTTATAAAAATGCAGAGAAACAATTGTGGCAATTCCCACCTACACTTTGTTGGGCATCCAGGTCCCTGGGGAGCTTGTTAAAGGGCCAGTGCCCTGCTGTGCACCCTGATCAGGGCAGCTGGATAGCCAAGTTTTTAATAGGTTCCCTGGGGATTCGGATGCAGATTTCCTAGAACTGCATTTTGAGAAATGCTGTGCTGACATTCCTTGTTTAATCAGCTCGGTAGGTTATTCATCCCTGTGCATTAGAAGTGTGTAAATGCAGGGTGGAAGGCATCTGGGAGGAGGATGCAGGCCCCAATAATGAGCTGTAAATGGTCAACAGTGTACAAACAGATGGACAGGACTCCTGATAAGCTCTGATATCCCTGGCACTAAGAGACAAAGTCCTCTTGGCTTCTGGTCCTGACTTGTTTCCCATAACTCCATAGCCACTTCTTTGACCTTGGATTTTCCACCTGTAAAATGAGGTGTGGGGGGTGGAGGGGGACTTTAAATAATTGAAGCCCTAGTGTCAGAATAGGCATCACAGCTGGGTTTATATTCCACCTATGTGAATTTGGTCACTGAGGGGCCATCTCTAGCCTGTTTAATTGGCTATAAATTGGGGTTGTAAAATGCATACTTAGCTCCTAGGGCTAATGAGGGAACTAAAGAAATCAAGGTTCAGGCTGGGGAGGGGGCTACGACTCAAGTGGTAGGGTGCTTCCCAAGCAAGTTCAGAAAGGCCCTGAGTTCAAACTCCAGTATTGCTCCCCCCACAAAAAAAATCGGGACTTGTCACATACTGACTCCTCCTCCACGGTGGCAATTATTTTTATTACTATCATCATCCTCATCATCTCTGAAGGCCCTTTCAGTTCTTCCATGCCTCTGGGCGACTCCGGAGCAGTAAAGTGCAGTGGCAGAGGGCATCTCTGTCTGCCCCCTCCCTAACTGTGCGTCTCGGGTAGGTTTTTAATTTTATTTTAAATTATTTTCTCCCTCTTAGCCTCATAGGATCATCTGCAAAAAGGAGACAATTGTAGTAACTACCAAACAGTTATTTTGAGGACTTAGCAGATTCACCCTCAGACACTCTTAGAGCCCAGTGCCCTAGCCCTAGACTGGAGCTTACAAAGATCGGCTACTTTTATTTATTTTTGAGGTGCTGGGGATGAATGCCAAGGCTTTGCACATTCTAGGCAAGGCTCTACCAAGGAGCTACATTGCCAGCCAGCGGGGAAGTTTTATTCTTTTGGTTGATTAAGCCAGGCTGCACTTAGGTTCCGGGTGGGGGTGGGGCGGGGGAGTCCCGGGTGCACCCCAGCCCCCAAGCCAGACCTTGTCCCCACCCCCTGCCAGCTGATTCTCTGTCGGTTGGGCAACTGAAGGTCGGGGGATGGTGACTCTGGGACTAGCAGCCAGATGTAGTTGCCCTTTAGTTCCCAGCTGGGCCTTGCACCTGGCCTTCATCAGCAACTCCTACTGTCCCCTTCCAGCGCCTCTAAAGCGAGAGAAATGCCCTGAAGGGGAAAATATCAGCGATCTGCGCGGAGACGGCCGCTTTTTTTTTTTTTTTTCCACGCCCACCTGAAGTCGAAGGGAGGTCTCAGCTCTTCCCCCGGCGCTGGGATCACTGACGCCCAGGCCTGACCCCACCCCTCCCAGGCTCCGCCCCTAATCCCGCCTCCGTAGCCGCTCCTTCCCGCCCCGAGGTCCGGATTGGACAGCTGTGGGGAGTGGGCGTGGCCGAGGGCGGCACTAGGCCCGCCCGAACGCCGCGGACGTCACCAAGCAGCGCCGAGGCTGCAGGTTGCGCGGGAGGTGCGAGTAGCCGGGTGGGTGGTTTCCCGTGCCGGGGCACCGACCCGAGCCCGGGTGGGGGCCGAAGCCGGAGCCGGTACCGGTAGAGAAGACGGGGGTGGGACTCTTAGGGAGTGATCTGGCCGGACAGGGGGCGGGACTTCTTCCAACCTGACTGTGCTTTCGGTGTGTTCCGCTCTGCGCTCCCGGTTCTGCGTTACCGGCCCTGCGTCTACAGCGGTTTCCCCCAGCGACTGTGGCTCTGGCCTTTCCTGCCCCCTCCCCCCGGCACAGCGGAGCGAGGGGGCGCGGGCAGCCGGTGGACGGAGGCTGATCGCCGCGCAGCTGATGCCCCCACGCGTGACACCGGTTTGGGGGGCCCTCGCCGCTGCTACACTTCTGTGTGAAAGGGGAGTTTTTTCCCCGCCTCCCCACGCGAGGAGAAGGGTCCCGAGGGCGAGGGAGGCGGGCCCTGAGCTCCTGGGCCTTTGGAATTACCCCTGCCCCACTCCCCAGGTGACGGGAAAGGATGACCACGCTCACACGACAGGACCTCAACTTTGGCCAAGGTAGGGAGACGACCTGCGGACGGGGAGTGAAGGCGTGGTCTGGGCCGGCAGTCTTCCCCACCGGACTGTGACCTCTCTGTAGTGGTGGCTGATGTGCTCTGCGAGTTCCTGGAGGTGGCGGTGCACCTCATCCTCTACGTGCGCGAGGTGTACCCGGTGGGCATCTTCCAGAAGCGCAAAAAGTACAATGTGCCGGTCCAGGTGAGCCCCCCTCCCCCACCCTATGGCCAGGCTGGGGCCACTGGTCGCCCTGCCCCAAAATTTCAGTGGGTAAAAAGTGAATTTAAAAAGTTTTTTTAAACCTTTAAGTGTCCCGTGCCACCCCTTTCCCCCATTTCCCACAGCCTTTGATAGCCAGACAGCCTCCCACCCCTCACCCTGGGGCATTTCCTTCCCTTCCATCACAAGGGAATTCCCCTGGCCAGAAGTTAGGGAACCTGGGCTAGAGCGGCCATTGTTGTATTTTAAGAGTTCCTGAAGCTGGGACCTTCAGTTTGGGGTTCCTTCCACCACCTTCTCCCTCCCTTCTCTTGCCCTAAACTCCAGTGAGTTAAGGTTAAAAGGCAAAATAAACATGATGCTCCATCTCCAGTCTCTAGAAGTGCCTTTCCCTTAGAAGGCACTCAGTTAACATTAGAATGAATGGAAGGTGGCAGAAGCACCTAAAAAAGCAAGTAAGAACCAGCACCTACTGAGCACCCAGTATATACTAGGTACTTATCTCTAATCCTCACTTTTTTTTTTTGAGAACTTCGAATATGAAATAAGCTCAGAGAAGTTAAGTAATTTTTGCCTGAGGCCACACAGCTCCTTAGTCTTAATTTTTGAATTCTGCTTTAATTTTTTCATCCTTTTTTTCTGGAGAAATGGCCATCTGTACGAACACAACTCTGTGTACATTTTTAAGCGCTTTTCAGACACTGGAGGACCCTCCATTAAGAACCCCTGATGTTATTTTAAGGTGCTAGTGTGGGGGAATGAATTCTTGCTTTGAACTTCTCTTCACATGATAAATTCACAGTTCTTAGTCCTATTATGGGAAGTTGAGTCTCTCAGACAGGGTGCTCTAGGTCACTGCTGGGTTCCTGGCTAAAGGCAAATGGGGGGTGGGGGATGTTGGTGGCCCCCATCCATGCTTCAAGCCTCAGTAATGTGTGGGGTTGTGTGCAGATGTCCTGCCACCCAGAGTTGAATCAATATATCCAGGACACATTGCACTGCATCAAGCCACTCCTGGAGAAGGTAAGAGGGTGCCTGGCCCTTCCATCCACCTCACCCGCTGTCTGTTCCTCCATGCAGGGACTGTGTGGGGTATCCCCTGCACTGCGGAGACCACCCCCTACCAGCAACAGGCCCTAGAACTTGTGGGTCATATCTTGGTTACCTTGGGCCAAGGGGCTGGGAGCCTGGTCAGTGGGGCTAACTCTGAGTAGGGGTTGCCCAAGAGGGTTCTGGGTTCTTCTTGTGGGTACTCTCCTCTCCTTGAGTTCTGTCTGGGTTGGGCTTCTCAGGGTTCCCTCTCCAATCTTATCCTGGCCTTTGAGACTTTCTGGAGCTTCATGGGGGCCAGGCATCCTCTCCTCCTGGCCTGTACAACTTGTGCCTCCAGGTACCAACTTGAACTTCTCAAATCTGCTTGCTGGGCTCTGTGGGAGCCTTGGTCAGCAGCTGAGGAGGGCAGCAAGTGCCATTCCCCGCCTTCCTTGGGCAGGGAGGGGTGGAGGTGGGTTGGCCCAGCACCCAGCTCTGGAGTGGGGAATCCTGTCCTTGCAGAATGATGTGGAGAAAGTGGTGGTGGTGATTTTGGATAAAGAGCACCGCCCAGTAGAGAAGTTCGTCTTTGAGATCACTCAGCCTCCATTGCTGTCCATCAGGTAAGCTGCCACTGTGTATCTGTGGCTGGTGCTGCCACCTTGAAGGCAGCCCCCACTATCTTGGTAAAGGCCAGAGAGGAGAAATGGTGAGGAGAAATATGCTGTTAGTAGCTGAGACATGGCTGCCACTACTCATGTCTGTGGACAGTACACAGGTGACATGGACAACCTCCTGTGTCACTCCATTCTAGCACTGATGAATGCTAGTCCCAGCCTCACTTTATAGATGAAGAACTAAAGTCCAGAGAGATGACATAAGCTGCCCAGTATCACCCCAGTGGGGCCAGAGCCCAGGACACAGACCTAGTTTCCTGACTTCCCAGTCAATCACCCAGACCATAGTGAACTAGAAGTTGACCTGGGCACGTGCATTAGCTGGCCAACTGCACGCTTCCTATGGTGAGGTCAGGGTACTGGAATTGTACCCATTGTCCCTACTGACTGTATGACCTTAGGCCACCCTTTTCCCCTCCTGGCTTGGTGTCCTGCTGGAGGGGAACCCCCTGCCCTCTGCCTTCCTCCCTCCATTCTGTCTGGGGTAGGGCTGGGCTGGCCTTCTTGGGCACCACAGGGGCTCTGGGCGCACAGCTGCTTCCTGAGTGGAGTGCACCAAGGAGATTTGTTCCCTTTCCAGCTCAGACTCCTTGCTGTCTCATGTGGAGCAGCTGCTCCGAGCCTTCATCCTGAAGATAAGTGTTTGTGACGCTGTGCTGGACCACAACCCCCCAGGTGTGCTCACTCCCTTTTCTTCCTGTGGTTGCCTTGATTACCCTGGGTTGTTCTGTGTTCTCAGGTCCCCATTTGGCTGGACTAAACCTCATCTCTTCCTTCATGTCCTTCAGAACCCAAGTCCATCTCCAGGGAGCCTCCCTGGTTAACTCCACTTGGCTCCAGCCTCCCATGGACTGTGTCTTCTGTTAACTCTTGGCTTACACTGTACTGGGGGGCTATCAGGCTGGCCAGGGAAGTGGAAGAGACTGGGCCAGTGGGAGGCAAATGTGGCCCAGCCGGCCTTGACCAAACTCTCTCTCCCCAGGCTGCACCTTCACAGTTCTAGTGCACACGAGAGAAGCTGCCACCCGAAACATGGAGAAGATCCAGGTCATCAAGGTGAGAGGAGTGGGCACAGAGGGAGCTGGCAGATCAGTTCTAGGCCAGCGGGGTGCTGCCTATGGCCAGGCAGTAGTGTTGCTCATGGCAGTGCCTAGCATCCAGCCAGTCTTCCTATGTTAGCCACACGGCCACTGCTACTTCTGAGAGTTCAGACCCAAGAGGAGCCCGACGGAGCTGCACACTGAAACTGCCAGCCCATCCTGGCCTTTCTAAAGGGGGTTCTTGAGGGAGGGGCCTTGCTTGCCTGTTTCAAAATCAGTGCTCAAGGCTTATAAATCATGTGGGCTCCTGGCCTCCTGGTGGAGGAACCTGGGAATGTGCCTTGCCTGTGATTCCCTAGAGTCTGAGGACCCCAGCTCTGGAGGGCAGGGGTGGCAGAGTGAGGGCAGGTCTGGTTCTGGCCCCTTCCAATGCCCTCACTGTGGTCCCTCCCTAGGACTTCCCCTGGATCCTGGCAGATGAGCAGGACGTCCACATGCACGACCCCCGGCTAATACCTCTAAAAACCATGACATCGGACATCTTAAAGGTGAGCTGTGTGACGACCAAAGGCACTTTTATTTAGAGGCTGTCATGAGGTGAGGCCCAGAGCTGAGGCTTGGCCAGAGGTCTCAGACTTGGGGGAGAGGATGAGGTACCCAGGATGCCTGGCCCAGAGATCTGGGTTCTCCAGAATGTGACTGTTTTTGTCTACTAGATGCAGCTCTACGTGGAAGAACGAGCTCATAAAAGCAGCTGAGGATACGCCTGCTACCCACAGATGCCATGGCTGGCTGATTCTGGGGTCCCTGGCCCTGGGCAGTGTTGCAGGCCCCCCGATTCCAAGTGCTCTTATTGCCTGTGTGTGTGACATCCCTTATTGCCTCTGTGTATGGCTGCTCAGGTCTGCTTGCCTTCTCTGAGGAGGCCTCCCCAGGAGGGCAGTGAGGGATGCTGGGACTGCAGTTTCTCAGCCCTGGAGTTCAGTTGGCCCACACACTGCCTGTCTCAAATACTGTTCTGTGAGTTGTTTCAATAAAGGGCCCCAGGGGCTGACTGGGCTGTCACTAACCAGAGTGAGACAAGCAGGTGCAGCCAAGTTAACTGAGGAGGGGCACTTTTCTATCAGTGCCAGTGATCCCCACTCACACATAAACCCAACCCCAGGCTGGTTTTACTGAAAATGTTTATTACAATAAAATGTCAGGGCTGTGTGACAGCAAATCACAAGTTGCAGGGTTGCTAAGGTTGGACGGAGGCAGAAGCTCTTGGACAGGGACCTTCCTACCCAATGCACTTGCCTGGGGGGGACTTTGGCTGACTGGGACAGAGAACGGATGAGTGGCTATCAGATGATGACTATCACCAGAGCCTGTGGAACCGAAGCGGGAAGGGTGAGTGGGTGTCTTCTCCCTGTGGCTGAAGCATCTCAGGCACAGCCGGTGGGGAGGGGGCCGGGTTCCTGGCTGTCTTGTGGCTGACGATGATGCTACTGTTGGTGACACGGGCCCCGTACCAGCCAGCCCAGAACTGAGTGTCCTTGCCCCCGTGCTGGAAGAGGATGTGACGGACGCCTGGAGGGTAGTCTGAGAAGGTGTGGGAGACCTGGCAGGGAGGGGAGAGGAAAGTGATCATGGAGACTGGGGAGGGGGATGTGGTGGGTGCTGTCCAGGCTGGGAGGCAGGGGCTTCAGTCATGGAGAAAGAGGGTGGTGGGGCAAGTAGAGGAGGCCTCACCTCTGTCCACGTGGCATCGTTCCACTGTTCAATGGTCACAGGTGGGGGCTCAAAGGAGGCCAAGACGATGTAGTCAGCCGAGGCCAGCTGCACGCGGATGTAGTAAGTGCAGCCACAGTCTGCCCGGGCTGCAAACCTGGAAAGGGTGGGACTGAGAGCTGTGCACCTGCCACTGATGGCTGGCCATGGACACGGGGCAGGCAGTTGGGCCACTCTGGAGTGAAGTTTCACTGTCCTGAGCATGCTCCTTCTGCCTGGGCTGCTCTGCCCATGAGACTCTAAGCCTTGCTGGGCCCTTGGGGATGCAGTCTATCCACACGGAGCCTCAGTCACCCCATGTGAGAAAGGGGCAAGGTTTTGGGCATTCTACTGAAGATGTGACCCCACAAAGCAAAAGGCCCTACAGAGACAAAGTGTCATAGCTATGTCACCTGTACATTACAGTGAATAGGAGATTCATGGTGGGCTCACCCCTGCTGAGCTTAGCCACCCAGCAAGCGTTGCCCCTCCCCTCTCAGGGTGGCCCTGGGGCTTGGCTGGAATGGGGTCCTGCTTCTGCATGGGCCAAGCAGGGCCTTGCAGTTAGTTCTGTGCACAGAACAGCTTGAAGAGCTGTGTGTTAGGCTGGGGTGCAGCTCAGGGGCAGAGTGCAAGGGAGGAAAGTGGGCAGGGGAGGCACTAGGCAGGAAGGCATTGAGTTTTCACAAAATCCAGAGAGGGTTGCGGTCCTCTGTTGTTCCCAGGCCAGTTAGTGACCACTCATGGGTAGGCCTCAGCTGCAAACAGGTCAATGTACCATGTTGGCCATGTTACAGAGAGGAGGCCAGGAGGTGCTGTTGGAGGAGCAACTGCTAGAGCCTCCAGAGAGGGGCGGGGCCAGGTCTGCCTGGCTCTAGGGCAGCTCTTGCCTAGAACACTGCTGGGCAGAACGGGCACTTGCTTTGGGCTCTCTGGCTTAGTACTGTGGCAGGAGGGAAGGCTATAGAGTGGACACAAGCCACGAACCCCACTCACCAGTCCTTCACCACGATATCTGGCCGGACAGTGTCCAGTAGCTCTTCCCAGTAGCCTTCAGCCTTGAGGTCCACCAGCTGGGACTTGAGGCACATGCTGGGGGCAAAAAACAAGACTTGCATTTCCAGTTGGGTGAGGCAGGACCTTCCCTTGCCAGATTAGGTCAGCACATAGTGGCCAGGGAGGTGGCTTAAGGAACCCGGGGCACCCCTTCACCACTATAGGACAGGCATTAGCTGGAGCTTGCTAAAGCTTCTACCCTGGGCTGACCCACTTGTGCCTGGGTGGCATTTGATCCCAGTCCACAGGCTTAGTCTCAAGGGTACCATGGAGACACCCTGACCTACCTAAACTGCCCAGTGCTCTCTTGGATGCCTAACACTGATCCCACACCTGGGAACCGGTGGCCACATTTACTGGTTCCAGGAAGCCATGGGCTCTGGACATGTTTGGGAGCTTTAGGCCTTGCTCAATCTGAGATTGGCAAAGGTGTCCTGACCCTCTGTCCTCAACTCAAGTTGCTCGGTTCAGTCTGTCTTACTCATAGGACGTGACAAAGTACTTCTTGACTTTGGGGTCAGGAAAGTCGGTGCCATGATCTCCTGGGAGGCTCTCCACCTTCCATTGGTCCCCTCCATTGGAGTCAATTCTCCACGATCTCATGTCCTCTAGAAGACAAAAGCCCAGGTGAGATTCCCTGCGTAAGTGTATTGCATTCAGTAGCAGCAGTAGTAGAAGTAATTTTTTGCAGTGCTGGGGATTGAACTCAGGGCCTCACACATGCTGAGCAAATGCTCTGCCACTGAGCCATACCAGCCCTCTGTCTAAATTCTAGGCCCATCCTCCTGCTTTCCTGAGAGGGAGGAAAGGTGGTGAGGCAAGGATCTTCTGGAGGCCAGGCAGGCTTGTGCTCAGATTTCTGGGGTTGTGGAAGTTTGCTTCTTCTCAAGGGCATTGTGCAGCCATAGTCAGCACCCCTCGAGCCCAAGCGGGTTACTCTTGCCTTGAGCTCCCCTTTAGAGCGCTCCAACATTCCTGTCTCTCCTCTCATATAGGCTCTGACCTGGGACTTGCTCCTTCTCTCTCTGTCTCAAACTGGCCTAAGGTGCAGCTACCAAAAGCACATTCACCAGAAATTCTAGATCAACTTTCTCTCATTTCCACATTGCTGTGGGTGGGTCTGCCATAGAAAAATGGGGAGCTGATGGGAGTCCTCCCACATGCTGGATACCTGACCACAGGCGCCCCCTAGTGTCCAGGAGGAAGAGTACCTCCATTGAGACATTTCAGGGGCTGCTGACTTGCCAGCAAGAGGTAGGTATGAGGACCCACGGTTCTGACCTGATTAGATGCCCTCTTCCCCCAGCAGGTGTCAAGTGGGAGCACCAGCATCCCCTGGGCTGGTGTTCATAAAGGACCCCAGGAGGGACCTCAGAGGGCGTCCCCTTCAGGCTGAGCCTGGCCGACCTCAGAGGGCAGTAGGTATTGCTGCTCCACTGGGGTATCCAGACGGATCATGGGGAGCCTTTCCAAATCACTTGCTTGCTCCCCACCAGGAGCCCACACCTATTCCCACATGCTCTGGGGATTCCCCAGTAGAGACCAAAGGAATAACAGAATTCCAGGAACTGTGTCCTGGGCAGATCCAAGCAAGGTTTGGGCTGATACGCCCCATGCTCCCCATGCTGAGCCTGGTCCTGAGGCTGTGAGCTGGGCTGGTGGCCTGACTGGAGAGCTTCTGAACAGGATCTGAGACAGGAAGGAGACTGAGTGTCTAGGCGTTGTCTGTGGGGCCTGAGACGAGCCTGAGTCTAATCAGCTAGGGCCAGACTTGAGGGCTGGCAGACTAGATCTCTGGGCAAGTCACATTGTGGGGCCCAGGGCATCGCGCCTAGCAAACGGGGCCCACCCTCGCTGTGTGGCCAACTCACAGGAGCTTACTGAGAAGAAAAGGACATCGCCACGAGAAGGCGTCACTAGAGAGTGACACACGAGAACCATTAGGTGTCTGCAAGTTGAACTTCGTAGCAGAGGAGAAAGCTTAAAAAGATATCTTCAGGTTATGAAAAGTGCCACAGGGCAATCAATACACAGGGGTGCTGATGAGGTGAGAGACACTGTTTCAGTGAGGGAGTCATGGCAGGTCTCTGAAAGGAATCTGAAGAATGAGGTGGAACCAAGGGAGCATGGTAGGTGTTAGGGATAAGAGAACATTCCAGCAAGTACTAAGACCCTGAGGTTTAGGAAGGGAAGGAACCTGCATGAGGTAGCAGCCCCGCCTCATTCTCAGCCCACCTTCCGCACATGGGTTGCGCAGGAGATTCCTGCGGAGGCTGCACAAGAAGTAGAAGATCTTCCAGTCAGCCACGGGCTGGTCCCAGTCCTTGGTGATGAAGCCCTCGTGCAGGCTCTTGCGCTTCCAGAGGGTTGCCACATCAATGAGGTCCCGCCAGAGGCTGCAGACAGGGCGGCAACACAGCAGCAGCTGGCGGGCGGGCACGTGTGTGAACAGCTCCAGCAGGATGTTCTCCGGCAGCTCGTTGATGCTGACCAGGGCCATGGCAGTGGAGTGTGCTTTCAAGCCTGCAGGGGACAGCAGCAGTGAGCCCTGAACAGGGAGGCAGAGGTCCCCAGGGACTGACTCCTTCCCTCCTGTCAGGAGCACTGGGGATGGAACCCAGGGCCTCATGCAATTCTGCTGAGCCACGCCCCGGGCAAGGAAGCATTTCTGAGGGTCCTTCCAGGACACAGGTAGTCACATGTCACACACATTTGGAAAAGTGCAGTGAAGATATTAAGTCTTTAGGGACAGAGGGAGACACCATGGCCTGAATCTGTAGTCCCAGCTAGGATGGCCTGAGCCCCAGGGGTTTCAGGCCAGTGAGGGTAACAGGCCAACCTGTGTATCACAAGGAGATCTAGTTTCAAAAAAAGAAAGAAAGAAAAAAAAGGTTAAAGTAAAATCTTTAGAGACAAATTTTTAATCACATCACCCAATTAAAAAATAATTGCTAGCCAGGTGTGATGGTACAAGCCTATAATCCCAGTACTCAAAAAGTGGAGGCAGGAGGATCATGAGTTCCAGGCTAGCCTGGGTTATATAATGAGAAAACAAATAAATAAAAATATTGCTTCTTTGTGAAGCCAGTTGGCCAGGTGATAGATTTTATGTGGGTCACATTGTTGTCTGCAAGTTCTTTGAAGGTTTTGGTGACTCTGTTCTTTTAATGCTGTGACTACACTGTCAGAATACATAATCTTGCTTATATTCCCAGACTCACTGGTGATCACTGGATCAGCAGCTGGGACACAGTGACCCTTCCCCTGCTGTTCACTTTGACCTGAACACGTCAGCGAGATGACACACTAATCAGGGCTAGGCGGGCCAGGAATCTGGCCTGGGAGCTTCTGGCTATCCCTATACTTGCCCCTGGTGGGTGGGGGTGGCCTGGGCCACAGCAGGGCTCTGTGCTGTCACTCAGAAGGGCCTCATCTGTTCCCACCTGGGTGAGAGAATGTCCTCTACCTACATGGCAGGGGGAGGGGACGGGGGACAGATTTTCTGGCTTCTTCTGATTCCCCATAGCCTTGACCAAAGCTCTTGTCCATGCGAGCGCACAGTCTGGGTCTGCTCAGGGAGGAGTGTGTTAACATGGTAGAGAAAATCCAGCAAGCAAATAAACAAGAAGTTTGAGCCTTGTGAAAAATCCTTGCTAGGAAAAAGCAAAATCCAACAGTGTGGCCAAGTCTTCTAACTATAAACAGTTTTAATTTTTTTTTTATGTGAAACTTGACTATTTAAAAATGTTGACAACTCTTGCAGGCCGTGGTTGTTCACCCCTGTAATCCCAACACTTGGGAGGCTGAGGCAGAGGAGGATATTGAGTTCAAGGGCAACCTGGACTGCACAGTGACTTCCAGGGCAGCCTGGACTACATAGTAAGCTCTGGTCTCAAAAAAAACCAAAAACCAAAAAACAAAGAAAAAGTTGACAACTTTCTAAAAGCTCTGTTTAGACCAAGTAAGTCTTAGGTACAAATGCTTCCCAATGCAGCATCCAGTAAAGTCCTCAGCTGCGCTGGTGGCATCCACCCTCCCCCCCTTACTGGGGTTCGAACTCGGGGCCTCGCGCTGGCTGGGCAGGCGCGCCGTCGCTTGAGCCACGCCCCTGTCCCCCACCCCGCCCCCGGGGCCTGGCGCGTAGGGAGGGTGACTCCAGCGCTGTCCTGGGCGTTTCTGGTGGAAAGTCCTCGCCGGTCCCGGACGCCGCCTGCCATCGACCCACCCGGGGCCAGGCGGGGTCATGCGCTGGCCGGTCCCCGTCCCCTCCCCGCTCTTACTGTGCCCATGTCTCCAAGCTGAAGCCAAGGCGCGGCCGGGGAGCTCGGCGCCGTCCCCGATCCCCAGGCGCGCGGGGCCGGAGGTCCCGTTACCGTCCTCGGCCGGGCGCCCCACGCACGGCCAGGCCCGCAGTGGGCGGCAGGCCCGGCGAGACGGCGTGGGACCCGCGGGGGACCGGCCTGTGCCAGCGTCTCTGGGCCCGCGGCCGCCCGTCCCGCTCCCGGCTCCCGCGTGCGCTGCGCCGACCCCGCCGGGATGCGACCTGGGCGCCGGGCCGAGCTCCGGTCGGGCTGAGCCTGGGCCGCGGCGGCCGACGTCGTCCGCTGTCGTCTGCTGTCGCCACGCCCCGGCCGCGTCACGCGCCGCGCCCCGGCCGCCCGGCGCCCCTCCCCGGCCGCGCGATGAGGAGCCCTGGGGGTCCCGGGGCCCCGCCGCGCTGCCGCAGCCCCGGATCCCGCGTTTCCCGGGCTTCCGCCTCCCGCTCCGGCACTAGGCAGCCGGTACCCACCTCGGCTCGCTTCCTTCCCCAGCCGAGGACGCCGGCTGCCGGGAATCCACCCCACCCACGTCACGCCTTGACCTTTTTCACCTGTCCCTCCGCGCAGTCGGCGGTGGGGCCGGTTTTCCACCCTGGAACTAGCCACGGGGCCTCCCCGGAGGACCAGAGCCTACCTCAGGGCTTCCGGGCCCTTTCCAGGCCTAGAATAACTCAGATTAAAAAACAAAACGGAACAAAACAAAACAAAAACCTCATTGGGTTTTTGTCAGGGCTAAATTCATTAATTTCTTCATTTAACAAACATTTATTAAGCATCTTATCTATTTTTTCCAGTGGGACTGGAATTTGAACTCAGGGCTTTGTGCTTACAAAGTAGGCACTCTACCACTTGAACCACACCTCTGGTCCATTTTGCTCTGGTAATTCTGGAGGTGGGGTCTCTAACTATTTGCCCTGGCTTGATCCTCCCAAGTAGCTGGGATTACAGGTGTGAGCCACAGGCACCCAGTTTAAAGCACCTATTTGAGATCACCACCAAGGACTCCATAGGCTGAGCACTGCCCAAGGGGGCTGGCCCAGGCCAAATCAGTTCCAGTCAGGGCTAGTGGGTGGTGGTCCCTGCCCACCCTGGCTTGGTCCTTGTCTAGTTCATTGCTGAGTCAGATAGTTGAATTTAATGAGTATTTATTGAGCATGTTCTGTGTGCCAGACACTGTTCTAAATGTTTTGCACTCACCAATGTCAGCAAAGCTATTGGCGAAGAGTGACATCAGAAACCTGTGTCTGGGTGGCATGACTCACACAGTGCCAAGGGCTGCCCAGAGAAACCCACACACTCAGCCCCCAGTGCCAGAGGCAGGGCTGCAGGGCTGCAGGGCTGTGGGGAGGACAAGGTGTCTGCCACGCGGAGGGGTCCACCTGTGACCTGGGGTCTGCAATGGTCTGGCTTTTGAAAGGTTGCCCCCTCTGAACCATTGCAAAGAAGGAATACCACTATCCCTGTGGGGCAGGCCCACCTAAGTGCCCTTCTCAACGCAAGCCACAGGGCACAGAAGGGAACACTTTTTTATTTGGCTGCATGGAGGAGGACCAGGGTGGACAGGGCTGCCTTCCGGCAGCAGGGCATGGTGGAGGCTGGGTGGCTGGGGGCTTAAATCATCTCCAAGCCACAGGGAGCCTGGCCTGGGTTTGGAGGTGAACATGTGGTGCTGGGACGCCCCCTCCCTTTCTCCAGGGCTCCCGTGCCCAGTCTGCGCCCTCCCCACCCCCCAGCTACCCCAGATCACCCTAAGGAGCATTCCCTGGGTCCTTGGGGCCTTGTGCCACCTGACACCTGTCTGGCTTCTAGGACTTCAATGATAGTCAGGACAGTCCCTACCCCAGCCTGGACCTCACCCCATCCTGGGCCTATCTTGTCCATTTCAAACCAGGTCTGAACATCAGGACCAGAGCCCCTCTTCTGAATAGGCGGGCAGAAGGCTTAAAGACCTCAGAAGGTAGCGGTACAGAAGACAGATGGGCCACCAGAGCCCCCTGCCACTCTCAGATCTGTCCGAAGTGCAGGCTGGCCCGCCATTGTCTGTAAGTCAAAGGCAGTCACAGGCTCGCCCAGTGTTCTGCCTGTCCCTCTCCAAGGGCTCCCAAAGAATACAGAGAGAAAGATGTGTGTGGGAGAGGGTGGGGTGGGTAGACTTGTAGATCTGGGTGGGCATCCAAGTTTGGAGACCCCTCTCTGAGCAGCCTGGGGACAACCTGCACCTCCCTCCTCTCAGATGCTCCATCTCTTAGCTGGGCCCAGCAGGCCTCCCTGAAGGCATCAGGTCAGGACCTCAGTGGAGAGTGGGACTCACAGCATTTGAGGGCTACCCAGCCTAGGGGCTCCACAAACAGGTGGCCGGGGATGCCTGACTTCCACCTCCCCTTCCCACGCCTGGCCCTTCTCTGACAGCCATTTACCAGTCAGGGTTCAGCGGATGGGAGCTTGGAGGGCGTCAGGGCAGTGCGGGCCTGATGGTGATGCTGCTGTTGGTGACCCTCGGGCCGTACCAGCCTGCCCAGTAGTGAGTGTCCACGCCGCCGTGCTGAAACCAGATGTAGCGGACGCCGGGTGGGTAGTTGGAGAACGTGTGAGAGACCTAGAGGGTAGGCAAAGGAAGGGGAGAGGTCAAGGGGACTGGTCCTGAGGCCAGCACTTCCCCGGGCGGGGAGGGTGGTCAACGGAGCCAGAAAGGTGTGTTTTTAGGGTTGGACCAGGATCAGCAGGTGGAATGCTGGGTTTAGCTCTGTAATGTTGGGCAAACCATCTTAGTTATCTGTGTCTCAGTTTTCTCATCAGTAAAATGGTGCCCAGTCCACTCCACAGGATTATCCCAGCGCTCAAAGGAACTAAAAGAAACTGCTGGCTGCCAGAGGATGTCCAATGAGGTCATCACCAGGCACATGTATCTATTTAAGTTAAAATTAACTAAAATTAGGTAAAATAAAAAGTTTTGTTAATCAGTCATACTAGAAACTACTGACTGTTAGTAAGGGTTTAACAGTCCCAGCTTTGCTAAATAAATCTTTGCTGCTCTTCAAACAAAACAAAACACCCAGTTTCACATGGCTGCTGGCTACTATCCTGGCTAGTGAAGATGTGAACGGTATCTATCACTGCAGGAAGTCCTACTGGACAGTGCTGCTCTAGATCAGGGGTTGGTCAACTGCTGCCTGCAGGCCTGCCTCCTACTTTTGTAAATAAAGCTTTATTGGAACACAGTCGTGCCCACTTGCTTACATGTTGCCTAAGGATGTTTTCAAGTAGAGCTGAGGGTTGAGGAATTGTGGTAGATTCAGGAGATCCTTTTGAAGCCTAAGATATCTGTACCTGGCCTTTTAAGACAGTATGTGCAGGGCTGGAGGTGTGGTCAGGTGGTAGAGCACCTGTCTAGCAAGAGTAAAGCCCTGAGTTAAGCTGCAGTACCACCAAAAAAAAAAAGTGCAATACATGTCCAGATCCAGAAGCTCTTCAATTTACCACGGGGTGTTGTCCAGATAAACCTGTAGGGTGAAATTGCCGTACACTGGGACTGCATTTAATTGTCTGATGAGCCTGATAAACCCACCATACGTTGGAAAAATCCTAAATCAGCCGCGTACTGCCTGTAATCCTAGCTACTCAGGAGGCAGAGATCAGGAGAGTCACAGTTCGAAGCCAGCCCCAAGCAAATTTTTTGTGAGACCCTACCTTGAAAAAACCCATCACAAAAAAAGGGCTGGCAGAATGGCTCAAGTGGTAGAATGCCTGCCTAGCAAGTGTTGGGGCCTTGAGTTCAAGCCCTACTACCGCAAAATAAAGAAAGAAAGAAAGAAAAGAAAAATTCTAAGTGAAACTGTAAGTCCAGTCTCCTGGACATGGGGTGGGGTCATACCTGTTAAATCCACAGTAAGATCAAAAATCACCCACTATAGTCATAATTAATATTAGCAATTAGTTATGGTCAACTTTTCTGAAAGTTTTTTGATTTTGCATCTTAATTTTTTGTTGGACTAGGGACTGAACCCAGGCCTCACACATGCTAGACAAGCTCTCTATGTGCCCCAACCCCACCCCACTGTTCTGAGCATTTTCTGGATCTGGCTCTGCCAGCACCCTGTGGCTGACCTCTCTCAGACCTCTAAGACAGAAACATTGTCGTTCCCATTTTACAGTGAAGCTACTGAGGCTCAGAGCCACCAAAGCCCAGGTGAGAAGGGACTAAGCTTGGATCTGATCCCAGGCCTGTCTGACTGCAGCCTCAGGCTTGAGGGGGGCCTGCCCTTTCCCTCCAGGGCCCACATACCTCCCTCCACTTGGCATCGCTCTTCTGTTGAATTGTCACTGGGTCTGGCTGGAAGGTCCCCAGAGGTGCGTGGGCAGATGACAGTAGTTGGACGCACAGCTGGTACTTGGACCCGCAGTCTGGCCTGGCTGCGAACCTGTAGGCAGAGGGAGGGTCAGTCAGGGCCTGGGAGATGGGGGGCAGGGTGGGGGTAGGGGGCCTGAGTGGCAGGTCCCCCACCCCAGACCCTCGCCCCAGGCACTCACCAGTCCTTGACCTCGATGTCCGGCCGGGTGGTGTCCATCAGTTCCTCCCAATACCCTTCGGCCTTGAGGTCCACCACCTGGGACTTGAGGCAGGTGCTGGGGGCAGGCAGAGGAGTGGACGGGACTGGGGTTCATCAGCAGGGCACTGGGACCTAGGCTGCCCTCCCCGGGGTGGGAGAGACCCTTGGATGCAGTGTCTTGGGCACCCCCCCACACCAGAGACCCCCAGATCTTACTAATAAGAAGTCACGAAGTATTTCTTGACCTGGTCATTGGGGAATTCCTTCCTCTGGTCTTTAGAGAGATCCTCCACCTTCCATTCATCACCTCCATTCACATCCAGGCTCCAGAACTCAAATCCCTCTGGTGGAAAAGCAGGGTTCACCATGCCGGAAGTGCCTCAGTGGTCCCCTTCCTTCCCCTCTTCTCCGAGGACCTCAGCAGCTGCCCTCTACCCCCAAGTTGTGGGTCACTGCAGATCCACTGCTCACTTCCACATCAGGTAAGTGATTTCCACCGAGAATCCTGGATGAAACAAGATATGAACCACCAGACTCCTTCTGTGATGGAGAACACGGTCCTGGACTGGACAGACCCAAATCTCCTACTGGTTCTACCAACACTGAGCTGTGTGGCTTCAGACAAGTTGCTTTCTCTCTGAGCCTTGGCCTTCTCTGTAAACTAGAGTCAAGAACAGGAGCTGGGAGTTGGACACTAGTGGCTCATGCCTGTAATCCCAGCTACTTGAGGGGTTGAAATTGGAAGGATCATGGTTCCAGGCCAGCCTGTACCAAAAGTTCATGAGACCCCATCTCAACATATAGCTGGGTGTGGTGTCATACACCTGTCGTCCTGAGCTGCGTGGTAGGTGGAGATGGGGAGGATTGCCATTGTAGACCAGCCCAGCATAAAAGGTTTGTGAGACCACATCTCAATGGAGAAAAGCTGGGCACACACCCTCCTGCACTAGGAGGACCACAGTGCAGGCCAGCCTGGGCTAAAAGTAAGACCTTCTCTCCAAAATAATCAGGGCAAAAAGGCTTGGAAGTGTGGCTCAAGTGGTAGAGTACCTGCCTAGCAAGCTCAAAGCCCTGAGTTCAAACCCCAAAACAACCAAAAGAAAAAGAACAGGGGCTAGAAAACTTTCTTTTTTTGCTGGTACTGGGGTTTGAACTCAGGGCCTCACACTTGCTAGGAAGGTGCTATACCCCTTGTAAACCTAACTCTTTTTTATGTCAGGTATTTTTGAGGTAGGGTTTCAGCAAACCCGGGGCTGGCTTTGAACTACTCTTAATCTCTGCCTCCTGAGTAGCTAGGATTACAGGCATGAGCCACTGGACTGGGATACTTGCTGCAAAGTGTATTTTAGCTTCTGTGGGCCACTTACTATCCCTATTACTTATTTTTGGCTTTGGGAGTACTGGGGTTTGAATTCAGGGCTTTGTGCTTGCTAGTTAGGCACTCTACCACTTGAGTTACACCTCCAGCTCTTTTTTGCTTTATGTTATTTTTTTCAGATAGGGTCTTAAGTTTTTGCCCAGGCTGAACTTGGAGCTTGATTGATCACTCCTACCTATACCTCCCATGTAGCTGGGATGACAGGCAGGTACTTCCATCATCTGGCTTGTTTGTTGAGACAAACAAGCTAACTTTTTGCCTTTGGCTGGCCTTGAACCTTGACCTGCCTCCCAAGAAGCTGGGATTACAGATGTGGACTAACATGCCCAGCCTTATTTTGTGTTTCACAATCATTTAAAAACAGAAAACTACTTTAAACTCCTTGGCTACATTTGGTTCACGGACCATAGTCTGTCAAGTGCTGGGCAAGAGCATGGCTGCTGCTGGGGAGTGGAGGAAGGCAGGGACCTGACGTCTCTGGATACCTTGCAGTTGTTTTGTCATCATTTTTTCTAGAGTTTGACCAGCAACAGAGAGCAAGGCCCTGTCCTGTGCCAGTGTAACTCCAGAGACAAGTTACTACATAGCAGGGGAAGGTGTGCAGGTGACTAGGGGCCTTGTTTTGCCAGTGGCTGGAAAGAAGATTGGGTCTTTCACTTGTCTGTATTCTCAGTAGGCCCAGTCCTGGAGTATGCAATTGAGACCAGCAAAACTTTGCTATGACTGTCTCTTGGGCACAATCAGTTCCAACTGGCCACCATTCCCTTCCCAGGAGAAATAATCTTAAGAGTGGAATAAGAAACACTATCCTTGGCCTCAGTCTGCTCATCTGAAAAGTGGGTGCATGAACAGTACCTATCCCTAAGTTACTGAAACAGGATTACAAGGCGTTCGTTAAGCCAGTCAAAGGACCTGGCTCACAGTAAGCACTCAGTAAGTATTAGCTGTTATCATGACAGTGTGTATGTTGGGGAACTTGGGACCCCTCTGTACCCCACCTTCAGCACAGGGGTTGTGCAGAAGGTTCCTGTGCAGGCTGCGAAGGAAATAGAAGATCTTCCAGTCGGCCACAGGCTGGTCCCAGTCCTCAGTGATGAAGCCTTCCCGCAGGCACTTGCGTTTCCAGAGGCTCACGAGGTCGATGAGGTCCCGCCAGAGGCTGCAGACTAGTCGGCAGCGCAGGAGCAGCTGGCGGGCGGGCACATGTGTGAACAGCTCCAGCAGGATGTTCTCCGGCAGCTCGTTGATGTTCTCCACGGCCATGGTGGGGGCTTCTGAACACCTTCCTGTGGACGTTAAGAAGCTGCACTCCACACCTGGCCCTGTCCCGGGGATCTGTCATCTGCAGCACCTGCTGCTGGGGGGCGGGGGGCGGGGGGCGGGTCCCATCTCAACTGCCACTGGCTGTCTCAGGAGTCACTGTGCCTCTCTGAGCTTCAGTGTCCTCCTCTGTGTATGGGGCCAGGGATAGTACCGGGCAGTCCGAGGAACACAGCAGGTACTCAGTAAAATAGAGCTCTGATTACCCCGCACACCCTGGCGCCCGCAGGCAGCCTCGTGGAGCCGCCCAAGGTCTTGAAGCCCATCCTCTGATTCTGGGGCTAGCGTTTTCAAAAGGTCAGACACACTTTAGAGGGGAAATTAGGAGGCCCAGAGCAGCCCAGCCTGCCTGTGTCACTTCGCCCTCTCCCATTCTGCAAGCAGGATGAGTCGCTCCGTGACTTTCTCAAGATCTGGGAGAAAATGACCTGCGTAGCTGGTACTGGACAGAGGGTGGGCAATGGAAACTGCCCTTCCTATCTCCCCACCCCCACCGGTCTCAGGTCCCCGAGCGCCTGCCCCATTACCATCCCCCTGTTCCAGTACCACGCCGTGACTTTAAAACGCCCTCCCCCTCCCCCACACAGTCGGGACTCACACCTTTGTGCAGATGTGCGACCCCAGACCGCGTCCCCGGCCAGGCCTCGGTTCGCGGCCGCGCAGTGCAACCCGCGGCTTGGGTCTGGTTGGCGCCGGGCCGCCTGGACGCGCGCGGGGCCGTGAAGCCGCCAGGACCCCGCCTCTGAGCCCCCTCCCCGGCGCTACCCGTGCCCCCTACGCGGTCACCTGCGTTCGGAGGCCGCTGCGCGATCCCGCCGGGCCGCAAGGCTGCGCTGCCAGGGCCTGCGGTGGCCGGGGATGCGGCCCCGCCCCCACCCGCCAGGCCCCGCCCAGCTCCGGCCCCGCCCCGCAGCCCGCGCCCCGCCCCGCCCCGCCCCGCCCCGCCCGCGCAGGCCCCGGACGCGCCCCCCACTGCGTCGAAGGAAAATTACCTGGGGGGAGATGGGCGGGGAGAGCGGAAGGAACCTCCTTCCCCGCAAGTCCGCCTGGACTCTTGGGGCCCAGACTCGCCCTGCCCCCTCGCCGCCTCCTCCCCGTAGCTATCTCAGGGGCGAGCTGGGTGACACCGCACATCGGACCCGCATCCCCGCCCTCAATTAAGAAAACCGACGCCTGACCTTTCCCGATCTCTTGGGTCCGCCCGGGAGACAGCAGCCTTAGGCCTCCTCCGCGCGTGGGGACTGCGGGGCGGCGGGGCGCGGGGCCAGAGGAGGGGCGGAGCGGGCGCGGGGCCTTTAAGAGGCGCGGTCGCCGGGACCCGGCCAGACGCGGGCAGCGCCTGGACTCGCCGCCGCCGCCGCGGGACTCGCAGTCCGCAGCGCATCGGCTCCTCCTCCTCTTACGACCGCGCTCCGCAGCGATGGACGGAGACGGTGACCCAGGTAGCCGCCGCCTGGACCCATTCGCTCCATCCCGGAGGGAAAACCGGGCAGGTGGACAAGCGCCCCAGAGAGGGTCTTCGGAGTGCGAGGGAGGACCCCTGAGAACAGGCGCGCAAAGTTTCAAGCGCGCAAAGCCCTTGACAGCCCAGGAGCACAGGCTTCTGTCTGGTGTCGCGATCTGGCGGGAGGCCTTGGGAAGAGGACTCCTAGGTCCTAGAAATGACATCAGAGACCTCCAACATGCCTGCCTCCCGGTTCCTGAGGGTGGTGGGGCTGGGGGATGGAGGTGCCTGCAGGCCTTTTCTTCCAGCAACTTCTGGTTGCCAGTTCAGGCCCTTGAGCAGCCTAAAAACCATGGATTCTTGGATTTAGGGCCTCTCCCCACCTGTCCTGGCTTCCTCCCTCTGTGGTGCCCTTTTCTGAGAGGCTGCACTTCGCCTGGGCCCTCAGGATGTTCACTAAGAACGAGGCTAGCTGTAGGAAAAGGCCGGGGAATGCTCTTGGGCCCTCTAGGACTGCCCAGTCATCTTTTCTGGCACTAAAGACCCCTCCATCCCTCCGACTGCCTGCTGAGTCAGAGTGGGGACAAGACTTGCCTGCTGATCATCTCCACCCCTTCCTTCCCAGCCCTTGCTGGGGTAGGCATTGCTGGGGTGGCAGGCAGTGAACTGATGCACATTCAGGTAACCAGGTCTCTCCTCCATTGGGAAAACCCCAGCCTCCTGTAGCTGCTCTCCCAGTCTGGCCCCGTGAACAGCCCTTATAGAGCCCCAGGATGGGCTCCCAATTTTTCCCAGGGTTCAGTCCTTGCCCGGACTCCAGGGCCTAACACAGGTGAGTCAGCCTCAGAGGCAGCTTCCAGGGCCAAATAACTTTGCTGCAGCAACAATGTGAGGACTTGTGTGTGCGAGGGAGATGGTGGGGGATGTAATAGGATCTGGGGCCTCAGTGCCAGGCCTGGGGGCCAGGAGAAGGGACTGGGTGAGGTGCACCTTTCGGGGGAGCATCAGATGTCTTCTGGGCCAGGGCAGGGCTGGGGTGGTGGAAAGAGAGGACATTGGGCCTAGCTCCCCAGAGAGCAGCAGGTCGGGCACACAAGACACTTTCCTTTCTGCCTTCCCCATGTTTTTCAGTGTAACCTGAGAGAAGCTGCTAGGACTCTCTGGGCCTGTTTTCTCATTTCCAAGAGGGAAAGGGTAACCTCTATTATCATTAAAAGTGATAGCCCTAAATGCTAGCAATGAAGGGAAACCAAGCCATGTTTGAGAAGAGTCATTAAGACTTACTTACTATTTGTTCTGGGCTCTGAGAAACAGGGCAACCTTGATTCTGCTCTCTAGGGTCTGATTCTGGTTGTGTGTGTGTGTGTGTGTGTGTGTGTGTGTGTATGCTGCATGTGAGGAGGTTCAAACTCCAGGTCCTGGCAACACCCAGATGGGGTTCTTGACCCTTCCATCTGTCCCTTCCCCCAGTCCAGGCCTGCCAAGGCACTACCTCCTTAGCTTTCCAGGGCTCAGTCTTAGGAACTCCCCTTCCTTCCCAGGTCTTCAGAGTGGTGGTCTCCCGGTCACCCAGGGTGGCCCTGTCTCCTCTCTCCAGCTCGCCCTCCTTTATCAATACTGGGCACTTAGTATCTGTTTACCATGGCTTCCACTGCCCAGCTGAGATGGGCTGGGATCCAAGAGACTGTCCAGCCAGCCACTGCTGACATCAGCCCAGGCCTTCTTTTCAGAATGGCCTTGTCCCTCCTCCAGGGATTCGGACCTTAGTATTGTCCCAGTGTTCTGCACAATGGCCATTCCCATGTCATAGATGAGGAAATCAAGGACCAGGCGTGGGCAAAGAGGAGGGTGAAGATGTTTGCCTTTCCCAAGCACCTGTATCTACCTTTCTGTTTGATGGACTGTTTCCCATTCCGAGTCACACAACGGCGGCTGCTGGGGACAGCTGCGTCTCCCTTCCCTTTAGTCCTAAGGTCCTCTGGTCTTCTACCATTGTGACCTTCAGTAAGTCACTTCTCATCTCCGAGCCTGAGTGTTTTAATCTGTAAAATCAAAATCATAGCCGTGCCTACTAACTCAAGAATTCTTTTGTTAAAACTGGCCATTGAGGTTGAACCCAGATGGTCTGAGTCCATATGCATGCTCCAACTACTTATTCCCAGGCCATGTCACCTTTCTGTGCCTCAGTTTCCTCATCAGTGAAATAAGGACAGCCACAGGCACAACCTGGAAGTGGTGGTTTGAGGATATAAGGAGTAACTGAAATGCTTCGGACAGTGTCTTCACACTTGCCAAGAACCCAAATAAACAGGAGCTCTTGAACTGACCCCAACCCACACCAGGGAAGGACATAACTTTCCCAAGTCAAGTTCCCGCCCTCATGAGATCAGTCCATTGCTGACAAAGGCATTTAACAAACTATAGCACCCCAGGACAAAAGCTAGGAAGCCCTTAACTGCCTTTGAACTTGGACTGTGAGAGCTTGTTACTAGAGGAAGTCTGGAAAGGCTTCCTGAGGAGGTGAGAAGAGCAGGGGCCACAGAGGGGGCCTACTGAGGAAGTGTCAGGACAGGCTACAGATGGCTGCCATCAACAATCTCAGGATTGTTGCTTCATTGTGGTCTGGAAGAAGCTGTTAGGCCTCTCTGGGCCTCAGTTTCCTCTGCCCAGATCAGGGCTTACCATCCCTACAGGGGAGTAAATTCTTCCAGAGTAGGGGACCCTGTGGCTCTGTCCCCTTCGCCCTCGTCTCTGGTCACTAAGAGTCACAGAATCCTGGGTTCCAATTGTGGTTGTCCCAGGGATGGTGGAGGGGGACAGTCTGGGGGGAGTCACAACCTCCCTATCCACCCCTGCTGGCAGAGAGCATGGGCCAGCCAGAGGAGGCCAGCCCGGAGGAGGCGTGCACAGAGGAGCGGCGGGAGGACGAGGAGGAGGAGGCTGCAGCCGCGTACCTGGCCGAGCTGCCCGAGCCGCTGCTGCTGCGCGTGCTGGCCGAGCTGCCCGCGGCGGAGCTGGTGCAGGCCTGCCGCCTGGTGTGCCTGCGCTGGAAGGAGCTGGTGGATGGCGCCCCGTTGTGGCTGCTCAAGTGCCAGCAGGAGGGGCTGGTGCCGGAGGGCGACGCGGACGAGGAGCGCGACCACTGGCAGCAGTTCTACTTCCTGAGCAAGCGGCGGCGCAACTTGCTGCGCAATCCGTGCGGGGAAGGTGAGAGCCGCGTCCTAGGGAGCTCAGCTGCCCCTTCTGGAAAACGGGTCTGTGGTGCCCCGGGGCCCGCTTCGGGGTTAATGAGATGAAGCGCTTTGGCGCAGTCCCCAGCACAGAGCAGCCCCTGCTAATACTGTCATTATAGTTCTCGGCCACCTGCTCCCAGGGGTGTCTCTTTCCCTGAGCCTGCCACCCTCAGTGAGCTGGGGCGGGACAGGCCCTGTGGACAATCTGCTCCGATGCCCACCATCCTACCCACCCCCACACCGTGAAAGTACCGCGCCCGCTCTGCCCTCCACTGTCATAGCAGGGACTGGGTGACCAGGATGGGGCTGTTGTGTTCCTACAGAGGACTTGGAGGGCTGGTGCGACGTGGAGCACGGTGGGGATGGCTGGAGGGTGGAGGAGCTGCCTGGAGACAGTGGGGTGGAATTCACCCACGATGACAGCGTCAAGAAGTACTTCGCCTCCTCCTTTGAGTAAGGAGAAAGGGTGCGGAGGAGGGGGAGCTTTGGCGGTGAGGGGCCCCCAGCCTGACTCCAGTTCTCCCAGGTGGTGTCGCAAAGCACAGATCATTGACCTGCAGGCTGAGGGCTACTGGGAAGAGCTGCTGGACACCACCCAGCCGGCTATCGTGGTGAAGGACTGGTGAGAGACCGTGGGGGCCAGGATTGGATGGGTGGGGAGAACCGAGGGGTGCAAGGAGCAGACGCCAGCTCTAGTGCTGTAGGTCAGGGGTCTGCAAGGGTTGGCAGCGCCCCAGTTTTAGGAAAAGGTGGAAATTAATCTGAGATTTTAAATATTAGAGTATATATACATATATGTACATATACATTCACGTGTGTGTGTATGTGATCAGTCCACTAATTCAACAAAAAACGTGTTTTCTGGGCCGGCTTTGGTTCTAAAGTTAGGTCCGGGGTTTGGTCCTTGCCTTTGGATCTTGGGTCAGTCCCTTTGTCTCTCTGATCTCGGCTTTCTTATCTGTGAAATGGGGACACTGTTGGTACACTGGCGGGCAAAGATGCCCGGCAGAAGAAAACTTAGGCAGCAGGTGATGCCGGGCGCGCTCCCTCCGCGCAGGTACTCGGGACGCACCGACGCCGGCTGCCTGTACGAGCTCACCGTGAGGCTGCTGTCGGAGCACGAGGATGTGTTGGCTGAGTTCACCAGTGGACAGGTGGCAGTGCCCCAGGACAGCGACGATGGTGGCTGGATCGAGGTGAGCCTGCAGGGGAGGGGCCTGAGTGGCAGGGGCGGGACTCTTGGAAGCCCCGCCGTGGCGCACAGGTTGGGGAGCGGGGCGAGGGTGGTCCAGAGCTGGTATTTCTGCGGAGAAACCCAGCTGGAGACTGGTCATTGCACCGGGGCGGGGCGATGGGGGCGGGCAAGGAGGGCCTGAGGACCCCTGAAGCTGACTTATCCTCTCCCACCCAGATCTCCCACACCTTCACCGACTACGGGCCAGGAGTCCGCTTCGTCCGCTTCGAGCACGGGGGACAGGACTCGGTCTACTGGAAGGGCTGGTTCGGAGCCCGGGTGACCAACAGCAGCGTGTGGGTGGAGCCCTGAGCGGCTCCTCCTCCACCCTTCCCCAGCCGCCCTGGAGCGGGAGAGGCCCTGGGGTAAATCGGCCTTAACTTAGTCGGTAGCCGCATCCTCACCTTACCCGCGCCTGGCACCTGCCCCTCTCCTGCCCATTGCTCCCAGCCCAGATTGCAGCCGCTTCTAGAATGTGAGTTCCGAGGGGCGTGGGCCTGCTGCCGAATCCTGTGCACCTAGCACTGTGCCTTCCTCAAAGTGGGCACTCAATAAATACTATTTGTTCAAGGAAGGAATGAGTGAACAGACGGATGAATGGATACCTCCCCCTCCTCCTCTGCCTCCTGAGGGCCCCTGGCCTGGGCTTGGAAAAGTACTTGGTGAAGCTCCAGCTGGTCCCGTTTCCAGGGGCACTCGGCTCGGCTGGTATGGGGCCAGCTGAGCCTGGGCAGGAGGCCATCGGACAAAGGCTGGGATTGTGAGGCTAAGGAGGGGCAAGCTGGGCCTGGCGCCTGAACGACACCCAAGCTGCCCAGAGGCCAGAACAGGGCTGGGGGGGGGGTGCCCTCCAGGTCTCTCTTGGCCCAGTGATTATCCTAGACCTTGGTACCTCACCTCCACTCCTCACTCCATTCCCAGAGGCAGAGTGGTAGTGGCTGCCCCAGGTCTGGGTACCAGAGATGGAGGTGAGTGACTTGGGGTGCGAGGTGTGTGTGTGGGGGAGGGGTGAGGAGACGTGGTGTTTGGTATCCCTCTTCATTCACACCCACTTTGCACTGCCCTCCCTGGCCCAGTATTGGATTAGATAGGAGCCAAGCCCTCATGGGCTGTTTCCAAGTCCTGTGTGGATGTTCAGGAGCTGATGGGATGGTGGTGGGTGGGGAGGATAGTGGAAAGTCTTGGAACCTCTGCCCTCCTTTCTGAAATGCAGCCTAATGCAATCATTGGGACCCCTGCCCCCCTCCCCAGCTCTGCTTTGATTCTGAGCTCTGGTGTCAGATGGGGTGCCAGGGGCCAAGCTGGGGCCTGCCTGTCCATGCCCATGCATTCATTCATTGGATTCTGGAATCCAACCCTACAGACCCTCTGTGGGGCCCTGAAGTGAAGACAGTCTGCCCAGGAAGAATCAGCAGCCTGGACACATGGAAGGTGGGACACCTGGAGCAGTGTCCTGGGTCATCCCAGTCTGACAGATGAAGCAAAGCCTTGATCTCAGGGAATCCCAGGCTGAAGGGGGACACAAAGCCCCCACCCCAAGGGCCCCCACAGTCCTTTCTTGGGGAGTCCTGGTCCCTGGGAAAGGGAAGGTCCATACTTGCCCGAGTTGCCAATCACAAAGGATGGGATGCCTGGCCCTGGGCTGGTGGATAAAGGGTGACAAAGGAAGGGGTGTACCCCATGAGCTTCCATGCAGAAGCTGGCAAGGTGGCGCTTTGAGGAGAGGAAGTAAGGGTGGGCGTGTAGGGGGGTGGCTGTGGAGAAATGACAGGACAGGAGCCCTCATGGTGCTGTGGGAGGAGGCTGGACAGACAGTGGGCCTCAGAGGCCAGGAGTCCAGGGTGGGGTGTCCAAGGCCTTGATGCTAGGGCAGGAATGTGGGAGGTGCTGCAGGTGGGACTCCCTTAATTCAAGGTGCCCGTGTGGCTTTCGGGATGGGGGCCTGGGGCTCCAGCTGGAGATTCAACTGGAGGAATTTTGCTATATGGCCAGTAACCAGAGCCAAAGGCCTTGGGGTCGGCCAGAGCAAATGTGGCAAGAGAGCCTCTGGGGTGGGGACAGGTGGAGGGACAGGAGGGCAGAGCAGCCAGGGAGACAGGAAGGGTGGGTGAGAGGCACGAGTCCAGCAAGGCTTCTCCCACCCAACTGCCTGGCTCGGGACAGAGCCAGCAGCCCAGATAAGGGTGCCCTGTCCTGAGGGCAGGGAGCCCACAGAATGGATCTCAGGGGCCCCAATAATGGGGCCTGTCAGCCTGCTGCCCTGGGTCTGTCACTGGAGGGAGAGGACGTGCCAGTGGTATTTAGTTCAGGGAGACAGTGGCTGCCTCTGAGCTATGTGGGGACGTGCTGCTGGAGGGCTCACAGGTTCAGGGGACTTCCTGTCATCATGTCCCCTTGCCACGCAGTCAGAGATGGGGAAAGAAAGTGGGTGTCATCATCGCTCTTCTGCATATGAGGACAAGAGACTGTGGTGGCAAGTGACACCCAGAGTCACAGGAGGAGCACAGACCCTAATATAGGGTACTGGGCCCCAACTGCGCCCTAACCCTCAGCTGTGCTGTCACAACCCAGGGTCATTACAGGAAGGCAGAGCCTAGTTCACTTGAAGGAAAAAAACCAGAATGCTGTCCAGCAGGGGGCACCCCAGGGCTCTCTCTGGACAGTGGTGACCATGGCAGCAGATGTGGCCTGTATGTCCCCGATGTTTCCTTCTAATTGATCAATATTTATTGAGCACCCACTGTGCATTAGACAAGGACGAAACAGACACTTTCTCTGCTCTCCTGGAATATACAATGTAGTTGGAGAAACACACATACAGTAAACAAATAAAGAACATAGTAATTACTGGCTGATACAGCCTTCAGTCTACACACCAGGTACTACTCTAAGAACCTTATATGTATGGATTTATCATAATAACTTTGTGAAGTAGAGGCTATTATATTTCCAGTTTTACAGATGATCAAATTGAAGCACAGAGAGGTAAAGCAACTTGCCTGAGGCTGCACAGCTAATTGTTCAGAGAAGCAGGATTCTACTCAGTCACTTACACACTTGACTTATAACAGTGCAGTAAACAAAGACGAGAGTGAGGATGGGAGTGAGTGATTCTTTGGGCAAGGTGACCAGGAAGGACCTCTCTGAAGAAGTGACATGAAATGAACGATGAAGAGGAAAGAGCTGAGCATATTTCTGGGGGGAGGGGAGAGTTTTCCAGGAGCAGCAAGTGCAAAGGCCCTGGGGTAGGAGTGAGCTTTACAGATCAGAAAGTTAAGCAGCATGGTTTGGGGCAGTGAGCAAGTAGGGGAGTGACTTGAAATGAGCTTGAAGACATAGGTAGGCGACAGAGAGTTTCTTGAGAAGCCACTCTGTGCTATGCCCTCAGGCATGGTATCAGTTTCCTGTAGGGACAAATCTTTGACAAGCAGATGTCAACATTTCCCTGGAGTAACGGGGTGAGAGGATGATGACAGTAGTGCTGACAGGCATGTGCTGAGACCCATGGGGACTTGGGCTTCTGTGCTAAGTGTGCCTCTGGTAGACACAAGTGTCCCCATTTCACAGACAGAAGAACTAAGGTTCAGAGATGTTGGGTGACTTGCTCATCTAATTAAGTAAGTAGTCAGATTTCCAGCTCAGGAGTGAAGCAGGTCACTGTGGTACAGGATCAAAGATGGAGACGTGCTGGAGACAGAGCAGGGGAGAAGTGAGGGGCGTCCAGGGAGGGGGCAAGAGTGAAAAGGACAAGGACAGGGGCCCCTGGCTTCCATGTGTGACATTACCCTGGCAGGACAGAGTACGAGGGGTTTCTGGGCCATTTTGACTAAGGGGTTGGGAAGGTGAAATTAATTTCCTCTTAGGTTTCTCAGTGTATATCTCTGTTTAGTAATTTTGTAATGGAAAAAGTCCCTGTTCGCCTTTCTGACCAATTTGCCTTGCAAATCTCGTTTTTCCAAACAGTATATTCAGCTGTGGATGTAGATGGAGGGAAGGACCAGTTCCTCCATTAGCCACTAGGTGTCAGCATGGTCAAGGCGCTCACCAGGCTGGGCTCCTATGCGGGCGTGCTCAGAGTGGGATTTGAATCCAGAGCCTCAGGGCTCTCCATTGCTCTGGGCTGAGTCTGGGTCCTCTTGTTGGGCTTTGGAGATGCTCTTAGCCCAGGGGCTGTGAGAAACACCTCTGAAGGTGGATCCCCTGAGACCTGAGTCCCAGAGGACAAGGAAGGGATGGTGGTCTGCAGGAGTCTGGGGGCTTTGGCTCCCCTATTTCCTCTGCACCGGACAGAGCCCTGGGTCTTCCCACAGGCCCCTCGCCTGCAATGAACACAGAGTGCCCAGGCAAATCCAATCCTGATCTCCTGTGACTGATGATTTTGCTATCTTTACTCCTCTGCCCCCCTCCCCCGCCCCGCCGGTAAATTAAACCTAATCTTGTGTTGACTCTGTGAATAAGGAGAATAATGCAGAAGATTAAGATGAGGTGATATTCATTCTCCTCCAACAAAAGCCAAATAATTGTCAGCAGGATTATCGCCCTGAGCCAGACAGAACCGCTCTCAGCCGTGCAGCAGGGTCAGGTTGGGGGCGGCTTCCTGGGTCTGTGTGGATGCAGCAGGAAAGACCGCAGAGAGATGTAAGGAAGAACTGCCTGGCAAGGTAGGGGGCTGGGGCTGAGTCCCTACATATATACACTGGGTTTGCCTCCCTGAGGATCCGGGCCACCTGATCATGACTATCCCAGGCCCCCCCTGGCACCCTCCCCTACCTTTGTTTTGGGGGTCTCCTTTTATCAATGAAGCTGAGTGCAGGGGTCTCCAGCCTCCCCCTGCCCTGCTTTCCCCTCCCCCTTCCTCTCCCCGGTGTGGGGGGTGGGCGCCTGTTCAGGGTCAAGAGCATGGATTTGCAAACAGAAACAGCTGGGTTTCACCTGGCTCTGCTGTGTCTTCATCTGCAGTGATGGCTCCCAGGGCCCCCAGAGGTCTGTTTCCAAGCTTCTGGAGCCAGTGCACCCGGGGTCGCAGCCCCCACCAGACTCTGAGCAGAGAAGTGAGGTGGACGCTGTGGCACCTGGTGAAGGGTGGGAGGGGTGCATGTGTGTCACTCCCCGACCTCAGTGTCTCATCGTGGTCGGCAGGCGCCCTGCCCGCCTCCAGAGGCTTCATCCCAGTGTGGAGGAGGAAGCTGAGGCGCAGACAGGCAGTGTCTTGAGGTCCCCTGTGGGCTGCAGATCCAGCTGGGGCGGAGGCCTCTGTTGGAGGAGCTCCCAAAGCAGTACCTTTCCCATCTCCATGGCTCCTCCTACACCTGGATGGCCTCAGGATGCTTGTCCCATGAATGGGGCACTGGCCAGGTGCTATTTTTGGCCCAGTAAGTCCCTGTCTCAGACTCTCCTGTGCCTCAGTAAGTCCCACAAGTAGATGGCTAACGGGGAATTGCGCTCACAGCTCCTTCTTGGCAGTTCAGTCCACTACTGTTATTCAGAGAAACCCCTCTCCCACCCGGAGCTCTGAGCTGGTTTCGTTCACTCAGATCTGCAAGGCTTTGTTATTTTCTGAGCATAGCA